TAAATAAATAATGAATTAAAATGAAATTAATTATTGTATTGATTCAAAAATTGGCACAAATCAGATTGATAAAAATGTTATTTATCATAAACCAGTATCTGTAACCGMATATAACCAATATGGTAACCAGAAGACTCTTCGCTCACAGCATACCGTGTATAATAGGTATAGGGATGTCCTATCCATGTATATATTATCTGTGGTAATTTTACAGGTTTGGTTAGGTGTTTTTCCCCTTCCACCAGTCAACTAACCTAACATACGTTGTCATCTGAGAGTTGCGCGTCGTCTGACGGAAAATGGATGCGCCTAGTATATTTTCTTATTTCTGTTTCGAATATTTTAAGTAAACCTACTTCCTACGTCGAATACGTGCGTTTATCTGGGAGAGTACTTGAGTAAGCTTTATTCTGGACGAACCGAAGACAACAGGTATGTATTTTTATTTTTATTATCATATAAGCATATCGAAATTTCAGGACCTGCGGCCTGTATTAAAAAAATAATGTTGAAAATTTTTTTAACAATTTCACTGCATTGATTCCGTATTCGCAACCGTTATTATGATTTATGAATTAAGAGGCTGTCAGCGCACTATTTGTTTTCTCTCTGACCGACGCTCAAGAATCAACATAGCCAAACCACGTTTACGCAGAATCATTTATCTAAGTTTTTAAGTAACCCTAGAGTAAAATCACCCATTATAAGAGATAAAGAAAAATATTTATGAGTGAATGGCTCATTGAATATTGTCTCACAACAATTTAAACATCATTTAAATTAACAAAATTTTTTTGTTTATTTTGAAAGTTGAATACAAAATCAAATAACAATAAAATATAATATCGATATGTCATTCCCTCAAAAATATTATATTCYATCTTTTTTGTAAAGAATGAGATTACTTAAAAAAAATAGGAAAAATGATTTTGCGTAAATGTGTTTTGTCTATGTCGAGCGCGTGTCGCGTAAGCCATAGAAGAAAACAAATAGAGCGCTGACRTCCTCTTAATGTTTTATCTTGAACCGTCATTATTACTGTATTCGTTATTAATTAATTTATATTATTGATTATTGATTAGCTGTTTTACTTGAGTAAACTTCCATTGAAATAATATAAACGAGGCAAGTATTTTTTAGGTTAAGTTTTTGTATGCTTTTAACAAGTTAAATTATAATTTAATAAATTGCTGTATCTGGTTTGAGGCGGCCATCATAATAAAATAAATCCACAGACTGTATTTGGTCCCCGTTGTAAACGCTTTCTTGCATAACTTTATACATTATTATACTGTTATTTATAAATTATAATTATTWACTTTGTCGTGGAGACCACCGATATGTTTCGAATCTTTCCACGTAAATGACAAATGTGCTTCTCGCTTACTGATGTATAGTAATAATATTAATATTATATTATTGTATAACTATTACTATTTAATAATGGCGTACCATATCGAAGAAACCCTGCTGCTGGTAGTCGTGGACAAGAATCAGTAATCAGTTGTATATTCCTGTAATCGTTTATCGTCAGTCTGTGCGGGCGGCCCACCTAAAATATTATATACGTTTGATAAGGGAAAACAAAACATGTGCACTAAATTGCCGAATATTTTTGTATTTGGTGTACGATAATAATATATTAATTATTATTAATTTGGTTCTTACAAGTTACAAAAATACCTACGTTTATTTATTATTTTATTGTCACGTTTCTACCTCCTACCCAGACACCCACTTCCACCATTTACCACCGTTTGTGCATTAATCTTGGTTTACTGGCGAACTGTTGGTGTCAATAGTTTCTATTGGGAATTGGGATATATTTTTATACGATTTGGATTTATAAATGTTTCATGTAACATAGTGAAGTTTTTATTACGTATAATGTTACTGTTATAATCAGAGCTATTTTACAATGCCRACCGCCGACGACGTTTATCAATGATTTGAATTAACAGCAGTTGTCGGTTTGTAGTATTTCTATGGGCAAACGTCACTACTTATCGTTCCTGTCGATGTCCTGATCAAACGCTGTCGTCTGCGATTTGCTTATCCTCCAAAACCTTCAATACTACTGTGTCGATACCCAAATTCGATTTGGGTTCAGTAATTGGCAGTATACACACTGCACTGATTTAAGATCTGATTCCATCTTCGTTGAGTTCAATCCGTCCAACTATAGTAAGTTTAATGATGTAGTTTTTAAAAGTTAAATTAAGTTTAGGAATTATAGTTGTCAGRCCTTTGATTTGAAATCGTAAGACTTTCCCCGTTATATTCTTGCATTGTTTCACGACAACCAACTAGATAATAGTTGGTTATAATAACAATAATAATAATTTTTTTTAATATCTTCAAGTGACTTCTTCTATAATATAATTAAATTTTAATTAACTTAGATTAAAAAAAAATATCCACTACCAAATCACTAATTTTGTATTGATAGTATTAACTGATGTTTTCATTACAATATTCTGTTGCAACGAAATGTTTGCAACATTTGATTATTAATACCTTTTACCATTAAAAGTTTCCAGTTGCCAACAGATCACTTGGTTGTAAAAATTAGCACTAGTACCTTCCTTAATTATGTACCACTAAACGTATTTAACTTTTCCAACAATTTCATATTAATTTTTTGCTTTCTAACTGTTTTAACGTCATTATTCTCRGTTGAAATATTATATTGACCTTTGATATAATTTACATAACATACTTAAATTACAAATTTTATTTTTATCTTTTAATTGTACAAATTAAATAAAAGTTGTTTTTTATTAACCTATGTTAAAAGAACTAACAAAATGTATTAAGAAATATTTTCAATCAAGTGTTATGCGTTGTAAATGAATGCTTAAACCCTGTTCCAATAAAAATAAGTATAACTGTGTAATAGAAACTTCTAATTGTAATATTGTACTTATCCATATATTTAAAGAATGTTTGAAAGATATTTATCATAACATGACGTTTTAATCAAAGCATAGAATTATTAATGGTATCAATTGAATAAAAATAAAATATTTATTTTCTGTATTACCTATAAAAGTTTGRTGTTTATTAAATTTAAATATGCTCAATAACATACTATAATTGTTTTTCTAGGCTGAAGTTGTMACAATGTGTGACACAGAATTTACACTAGCCAAATGTGTTGCATATCCAAGCTTTGAAGATTATGGCTGGCACACTATGTATAGAAGGCATATGTCAAATGTTATTAAAGTACTCAACATTYACAGTGATATAAGCCGTTTGTATTTGCTCATCAAACTTAATGAATCAGTGAATAACTTCGATAAATTTCTTCATAAACTACGATTTGAAAACAAATTAATCATATCTCCTGACTCAGTACAATTGACTAAAAATTTAAAAGATATTATACCAGATGCCGACCCCATTTACTTGGATATAGTTGGAGAATTTTATACCAATGATGACAATAAACTGTATGAATTCATTGRGCAAATTACTACCAACAAAATAAACTATCCTAGACTAAAAGAGTACAATGAACTTGTTAATCATTTGACTTTTATAAAGAAATTAAGAGAAGGTTTCTCAGTTCAAGAGTTTTTAAAGATGTGTCCTGATCCAGTTAATTACTTCAAAAATAAAATTAATTCAGCTTCCGAAAATTATAGTGAATCAATATCTTATTTGAGCAACAGGTGAGTTACTTGTAGCAATTTTGAATATATTTAATAGGCACAATTTAAAAAAAAAATTTTCTTAGGTTTAATCTTCTGCCATTGCCAAAGATACGTGTTGAGTTTTTGAAACAGAAATTCAATTTATCAAATACTGTTGAAGCTTTAAATGCTGATCCTAGACCAGTTTATTTAAAGAATAAAAGAAAATCATCTCTTTATAGTGAAATATCAAATCACAATGAATCAGAAAATGTTGAATTTTTAAAAGAAGTAATTATAAAATTGAATTTATTGAACTTTTTGGTACTTTTATCAAGTAATTAAAAATTATTATAGATAGCATACCTTGAKCATAAAGATGAAATTATTAATCATATAGAGTCTGTAAAAACTGTACATAGAATTCAAGTTGAACAGGTAAATTATTTAAGGTAATATATCTTTGAATATATCTTTGCTATGATATTTAAATTATGTTGATAGGCTAAGTCTATTGGCAGCTTAAACACTTGCGGATGCTGTTTTGATAATGAACTATTAAGCAGTGAAGTTTTTTCTTGTCCAGCTGGACATATGTTTTGTTCAGCATGTATAAAAAAGTAAATCTTAATATTTTTATTTAACAGTCAAATATTGAAAATTATTAGAATTTTCAAACAAAATTATTTTTATATTATTTTAGAGGTACAGAGGTTGCAGTTGGTGGAAGTAAGGTAGAAATTAAATGCTTTGCAGAGTGTGGTGAAGAATTTAATTTAACATTGATAAAAGTAAGTATTTATTTATTATTGCTCTGTTGGTAGTTGATTGATTTTCAAATTTTTATATTTTCAGAGTATTGTAGATGACAAACTATACCAACGTATAATGAGGTTGAAGCAAGCACAAGAAATTAAATCAGCCGATATTGAAGGACTCGAAACATGCGCATTTTGTGATTACTCTGTTATTTTGTCTCCTGATCTCAAAATTATTAACTGTTTAAATCCTGAGTGCAAAAAAGAAACTTGCAGGTATGAACATTATTTTATTTTAAACACTTAATCAGAATTTCATATTATTACTGATAAATATTTTTGTAATGTTACTACGGTAGGTTAAGTAGGGACAAATTATTGGATGCGTTTTCCTTGCARTGTCTCAGCTTCTAGAGTTATAGCCTTTAGTTGCTCTTGCTATGGATCCCACAGGCACGTGTGATTGTTCTGGTAGCATACTTTAGCCTAACTAAAATATTGATATAAATGAATTTTTATTATATATTATTGTTTCCATAGTTCTATCAAAATATTTAGTTAGTATATTTAATAATATTATCGAAATAAACTACATAAACTAAATTCTATAAAAAAGGTATCTTTATTTTTTTCCAAAATTAAAAAATAAAATACATTTAGCCTTTGTCTAAGTGGGTCTAATAAAACAACAGATTTATGATATATTTATTATCTCAGGAGATATCGCAATGAGTAAATCCTTGTGGGACAGCATGTAGATAAATAACGGTTAAAATATACTAAMTAATAATCGTACAATGATATTCAATTTAGTTTATCATTATGTAATTTTATTCGTTTTAATGAGAAAAGTCTGACAATTCAAGTATTCAATGGAATGATGTTTATTGAAGTGCCATTTAGATACACTATATTTTTTGTTCTTTCTACTGATGCGTACACAAATAAATAAGAAGGGTTTTTGATGGGTGATCATGCCACATAGTGCTGTCCATGTGAGAAGAATGAATTTTCCAAATTCAGTCCAAACACTCGTAGCGATAGTCCTTATGCTTTGTTGATTGTCATCTTTTTTAGGAGGCATAACTACTTAGAAATGGTATTATTTTAACAAAAAAAAACACTAAATATCAATAAAAACTATTAATGCCACAGAAACAAATAATAACAAATCTGGGTATAATAACTTCTTTTGCTCTAATTATTATTATTATTATATTGAAATTAATAGCAACCATCTATATAAAAAAAACTTCCTTCGTAAATTTCAAAATGTCGGTTTGAGCACCTCCAGGTGTTGGTCCTATCACTTTTTATGTTAGCCTATCTTCTTCCCATAGGTCTAATATATCTCTGTACTAAATTTTGTCCCAATCRGCTTAGCCATTTAGGAATGCATAAAGGAAAAACAAACAGACAGAAATCCATTTTTATAAATATAGAAGGTAGAAGATGTATTTTCAAAATTTTGATCAGTTATTTTAGCTCTTTTTTCTGTACAAAAATCTCCTGCTACACTAAAGAGCCTTTCGACTGAAGCACTTGAGAGGGTGACATGTTAAACTTCACAAAATATTTTTTCATCATTGATAAACTGTTTAAAATTTTTAAATCACCTGAACAAAATATTTTATAATAACGCTCCACTTTACCATTGCCTTGATCAAAAAATAATTTACTCTTCACATAGACTGTAATCAATATTTATAATCAATTAAATTCAAAATAATATTMACACAAAATTGTTTATAATAATGTTTATGATTTACTGGATTCRTCAGTCTTTTATCGTCTACRTTTTCATAATTTTATTATTATTAAATATTTATAGCATCATATTACACATACCACATAAGAGTGTTTTAAAAATTATTTTTAAATATAATACAAGTGTTAAGTTGAATTTTAAACCTACAGAAAAGAGAAGTAGTAATTAACCTCTTTATCAATCAACCATCCTCCATCTCRCTTCTTGATAATGTAGAAGTTGTAAAAGACTCAAAAGATGGTGTCATAGAGACCTACTAAAATAAAAATAAAACAATGCTGATTACAGAATCCATGATCTTCCACTGTCCACCTATTGTTTATCAATTTATTATATTAATTTTGCATATATTATATCTATAGTACAAATTAATCAGAGTTTTTTGAGATGACGACAATTTAAAAACTATTTATAACTATTTATAACTTATTTATCAAAATAATTGTTTATCTATGGTATAAACACATTACTATTCAATTTGGTAGACGTTAAAACATGTATATTGTATACATATAGTATGAATATCTTAAATACAAACCATTTGTATTTTTTCTTAAGTCAAAAATTAATAATTTTTAAATAACAACCAAATAATTTAAGTTTCTGAGTGAAAATGCCTTAACTGTTTGAATGATATTCAAAATATGACCCTTATTATTTGTACATTTAAGATTTTGGTATAGTTTGGTTTTAAACCCTAACAATTATTATTATAGATCATTACTTTTTTTCATCAAAATAAAATATTTATWTAGGCAATGTCGGGAAGAAAGTCATTTCCCATACAGATGTGATCAAATAGAAAAAGCTCCAGAAGTAAAAGTCAGAACCATGATTGAAAACAAAATGACTGAAGTACTCATAAGGTTGGTCTTGTATTTTTTGTTTAGCTTTGGACTTTGATTATCATAATAACATCATAGTATTAATTTATTAATTGTATTGCTTGATGTTCAATGTAGAATTTGTTATAATTGTAAACGTAAGTTTGTCAAGGAAGACGGATGCAACAAAATGACTTGCAGTTGTGGTAAACAAATGTGTTACATATGTAGGCAGCCAGTCGATTCAAATTATGCCCATTTTTATCACCAACAAGTGATGGAAAACAAGTGTGTTTTATTAACAGTCAATAATTTGTTTACTAAATCTTATAGTTATATATTTCAATCATAAAATAAAACATAAAAAAATATATGCATGATTGGTTATTAGATGCCCGTTATACACAGATGAAAATGTTGTACATGCTACTGCTGTAGAAGCTGCTGCTAGATTAATAATCAATGAACTGAAAATAAAAAAACCGGATTTGTTAAGAACTATTGATTTAAATAAGATTTTRCCAGCCTTAAAAAAATCAAATAACTCGTCTAACACTCAGGAATCTGCTTTAGATATAAATAAAGTAGTCGCTACAGTAATTGGTCAAAATGTAGAAGATATTAATAATCTCAAAGATATGAGTGAGTTTTTTCCTAAGTTATAAAATCATATTATTATTAAAGTATTATAATTTAATTGTTTTATAGGATCATTGGAACCTAAAGTCAAAAAACCAAGATATTAAATCACATTGTATCAATAGATTTGTAAATTTAAAATGTTTATAGATGTTAATAATTATTAAGTGTGATTATTTTGAGATCAGAGTTCTTAATTTTTATTTTCATACTTCCAAGTTAACTGTGTTATTTATTTTTAATTACGTCATAGGCATTCCTTATCATATATAATATAGTTAAAAGAAAAATGTCCGTATGCAATGTAATCAAATTTAAATTGTATGTATAAATATAATAAAAATATCATTACATTCACGATTTGTTATCTTAACTACTCAATAAATTTTTTTTTATATTTTACCAGTTTAAGCTTAATTTGAGATTTAAAAAAGTATGTTTGTGTGCTAAATCTTTCAATAAAAGTTAACGCTGCATTACTTGACGAATGTATAACATACATTTTTGGCACATTTTGAGCAAAACAAGAAAAAACAACAATCACGTCAGAATTAGGACTTTTGTTTTGATCTTCAGTGAATACTAAGGTTTAACTAATATCTATAGTGTTATWTAGGTAAAAAGTGCTTTTTAGAAATCAGAAGTTGCTTGTTATTGATACTGCATATTTCATATAATAAGATAACTTAAGAGACATCATCTTATATTTTAATTAGCAAATTCACAACCCAATGAGGAAAGTTTTTAAATCTAGATATTATATAAATCAAAAATCAAAACCACTAAACATTTTAGATGATGTATCTTTAATTGTGTATACAAAATTCAATGTAAAAATAGATAATAGTGAAGGAAGATTAGGGTATTATGTGGATAAAATTAAGTTTTTTTTATACAAGTCAGCTTTTTTTTTTTTTTAATGTTTAAATTTTACTAAAAAAAACTAATTCAGTACATTTAAAAATAGCATTTCGAAATTCTCAATATTTACCTTAATTTATTACTTACATAATAAAGTAACGAAGTTCATTTATATAAATATTGGATAGTTGATTATTGCTTCATTAGTTTAAATAAATATAGTTTGAAACGACAATTAATGTTCATGCAAATGTGGGTATACATTTTTTTTATCACATACATTATTTTCTAAAATATAATAAAATAGTACAATTTATTTTTCATAAACCATTATTACAAGTTATAACAATTAGTAATATTTATGTACACAGCCTTAATAATTTAAAACAATTGATATATTTTGTGTATATTATATGTWATTTAAAAAAATTAAAACTTTTAAAAAAACTGACTAAAGATGAGATGGCAACTTAATGGTAATTTCTCATTGAAATGTAAAAAAAAAGATTTAAAAAGTATTTTCTGGGTGCAACAAATCTTTTAACTTTGTTAATATTCTTTACACCATTGTACAAATTGTTAATACCTAAAAAAAATTTATACATTGGTACATCGATCATGTGAGGAATGCATCAATACTGAAATTGAGTCTTTAACTGCATGAAACACAATATTTTTGATCTGTAACTTGTCTTCGTGATTAGTATGACTGTCAGTTAGATGTCGAAACTCTTGAGTCATACGAAATGAATGATGGACGTTTTCTGGTGATACAAAATCTTCAGCAACTTTTATACAATTGTGTAAATTTCTGACCTAAAAGAAGAAAATCAAAATATTTAAAGGAAATAAAAAATAGTAACATAAATATATTATAAATCATTTTTAATGAAAATCTTAAAATTAAAATAAATTAATTCTATGCAATTTACAGATGTATTTTGTACCTGGTGAGGAGCTCCTGCTGGAATGAACACTGCATCGCCATAATACTGAACAATTGCGTATCCTTTGACCCCGTATTCTCTATACAAGCGCTCCCTAAGGTATTCGTCTAGATAGTGGGACTGATCGTGTATTGGATCGCTGAATTGTTCGAGAGGTGTTCCATGTTCAACTGCGACTTTAATTAACAAATCTCTAATCGAGTCAGCATCTGATGCATGGTAAATATGCCACAGGGCGCCAGGAGTTTCTCCGTGCTCATAAATCCGTTTTAATGTCAAGTCATCACAGCCGGCTTCTTCRATGACTTGTAATGCTTCCCTCACATGCCAATCATAATCATATTCTTTGCAATTTTTTGTGATTGCAACATAAACCATTACATTAACAGCATCTGATATGTCTAAATGCAGGTTTGTGGTGCCTACTTGTTTATGCTTTGTACCTKCATTACCATAAGCTGTATACATTTTTGGCCCCAAATCTGGTCGAACATAGCAATCTGGCAGACGAGAAGCCAAATTGTATTTACCATTACGGTGTGTATACTCTTTTAGTGGTAAGCAATTCATCAAATCTTGAAATCTATTAGGCAACGTTTCTGCAAAATCTGCCGAAGGTGGCCAATCTTTTAATTTCAATAGCATTACATTTCCCATTTTATCACACAATCTTTCCTCAGAATTTTCAAAACCATTCCAAAACTTGCTCATTGGTTGGTCAGATATCACATTACCGGTGGTACAGTCAATCAGGTCATTAATTTGATTGCCAAAATCACGAGAAAATGATTTTGGATGCCATAACGAGGAGTTTAATTTATTGCCAACATCACTCACTAATACTGGTTGTCCACGCCTCCATTGTTCCTAAAAAATAGAATTCACATCAAATTTTAACTTATTTGATATTAATTTTACACACTKCTAGCTGCATGTAAAGTACACCACCTGATTATTTATTTATATTTAAATATTTTTCTTTTCGAACAGTTTTCAAATTCATCAATACTCTAACTTTTTAATTTATATTATTTCAGATGCTCTCATGGTACAACATAGTTATTTTAACAAATCTTACCTAATCTTAATAGTGCACAGTATAAATTAAAAAAACATGATATCAACTATAACCTACTTTCCAAACATTTAATTTCTTTATATAATTATATTGATCTATAAACTAGAGCTGCCGGTTTTTTCAGTATACCGGTAATTAGTATTTTAAAATACCACTATACTATGATTAAGTAATCACTGTTTTTACTGAAAATATTTCATACACTTATAACTTATAATAAGATAATAAATTCATAACTAAAAACATAATTTTTTAAAGAGATGTAAAAAAATTTTGGAATTAAAATACTTCTAAATTTATCGAAAATACCAATTACTGATATACAGTATTTTCTGTATTCACCAAGAAATTAACTTTTTGATAATTATYGAGAATAATGGAAACCAGTGTCAATTTTTAAAATACTGCCACCCTTATTAAAAGTGATGATTCTTTCAACCATTCTAACTGTTATTTACAGAATTTGATTTTTTTTTTTTAAATTTAATTGATTTATACAACCAAATTTAACTTCAAAACAAAACAATTCATTATTTTTCAACTTAATAATAATGTATTTTCAACATCAAAATCATTTGCTTTTTTTTATAAATTTACTACGGATTTAATTTGTTAACAACATTTTTCTTTTACTCCAGAGCAAGCTTATAAAATCTTATTTCTCTGAATGGTAGACTAATTTCCTCAGCATTGTCATAATTAAAGAGCCTTAATTATTACCCCCCAAGTTCTAATTAAACACTATCAAAACTAAGTTATCATTTTTTTTGGTTATTATTATAGTGAAATACCATTAATTTTATAGGTATTCATTTAGTATGTGACCTACTGTATTGGGTATTTGTTCAGTATTTTTAATCAAATTAAGAATCATAAAATTATGCTGTATATTATCATTAATTTGCATTACAAATAAAAAGTAATACAAGAACACACTTAATAATGTCAAAATCAGTAAAAACACAATGTATAAAAATATTGAAGACCTATTATGTACTTATTGTCAAAATCATTTGAAAAATGTCCTAAAATTATTTTATTATAAAAAAATGTAGTAATACACTTTATGTATATCATTTAAAAAAAATTCAAAAATGTATTTTTCCTGTTAATAGATCAGTACTCGCACATTTTCCATACATAATATAGTTTTGTGAATTGATAGGTCACATACTAAACTTACACAATTTTGTTTTTAAATCATAAAATATTTACTGAAAAATAATTAAAACAATTTTGGTCATAACAATGACTTAAGTCACAATATAAATTTGTTATTAATTATTATATGCTCCTATAATTATTAAATGTTGAGGTTAAGATACATATTATGAGAAATCAGTTGATACAAGTAATTTTTTACCATTGGGTTACACCAAAAAGCACCTTACGCGGTATGCTATCATAGACTACGCATTACTTTATACTGATAAATACTACAAGAATTTTAAATTAATTATTAATGTATTATCGATCAATATGTATTGCAATATTTTAATATATCTTTTATTTTTTCATTTAGTTATTAATAATTATTTGTTTGTGCCATCAAAAAAATTATGACAGATTCTTACCTATGTGTTGTGGAATTTTGATAATTTTATAATAAATAATGAGGGGTCCTGCATTGTCCCGCGCAAGTACAGATTTTACTATGTTCTTCGTTTGTAAAACAGAGACAATGTATGTGAATGTGGCATCCTCATAAGAGGATTTCAACCACATGTAACTAAGTAAATTTTATTTTACCAGYTTTAATAGTGTTCAGTTAGTTTTTATATAATAGTGAATTATGACATATTATAAAATTCAAAGGTAAAATTATTATTGAGGGCAAAACTTTTATTGACATTATTATTTTTTAAGTAAGTTACGATCGTAAAATTAAAATATAGTTTCAAAAAGGTCATAATACACTTAAACATAATATCAATCGAAATTTACGAAGRTACTAGAAAATAATTTAACTTAAAATTTGATAATAGGTCAATTCACTATTACATAAAAACTAACAGCACACTATTTTAACTGGTGAACAAAAATTATGTATGTCATATGTCTGTAAGATAGATAACACACTTAGGTGCAAATAATATATTGTTAACAAAAAGAGTATTTTAAGTTTATACTGTGTTTTTATCATTATTATGGTATGTTTTAAGTATACAAGAGCATGTAATTGTTAGTGGGTATTGAAGGGAGAGGGCACAGCTTTGAAAATCATTTAAAATTATAGCACCCATCCCATTCCATTTTAGGAGACTTGTGCTTACGATTAGGTATATTAGACTCAATTGTAAAAATAAATAATAAATTTCTCTAGAAACTTGTTATTTTTTTTTGCATATTTTGCTTTCCTAGGTCATGCATATTAATCAGTGCCAGTGCATTTCTTAAAAACTTTAAAATAATACTAACAAAACTTGGAAGTATTAAAAAAAGTATTTTTAAGTACCTGAAAAATTGTATAGTTAATGTCACTTTTGGGATCTAATAAACGTAACAGATGTCCTTCACACAACCACATATGAGGTGCATTGGATTTATCATCTGACAACAATGATAATTTTGGTGGAAACCATTCTTTTGTTTTGATATGTTCAACAGCATTAATTGAATTTTCAACATTTTCTCTAGGACTACTATTATTGCAATCATTAACTTCAGATTTAATTTCAGATTCAACTTCAGATGTAACTTCAGATTCAACTTCAGATGTAACTTCAGATTCAACCCCAGATGTAACTTCAAATCTAACTTCAGATGTAACTTCAAATTCAAATTCAGATGTAACTTCAAATTCAACTTCAGATTCATTTTCTGATACAAATTCTTCAGTTCCTTTATTTAAATCATCATCGCAAAACTCCAAATATTCTTCATATTGTTTATCTATTAAAGACTTTAGATCTAAGGTATCTTCTTCATTACTACTTGTATCAACATAGTTAGGTTGTTCATAGATATTAAAAAGATCATCAAAAATAGGATCAATAGAATTAAGAGGTAAAATCTTTTCCAATTTATCATTGCAACTACAATCTAAAGGTATGTTACGAGAGTTACATGTTTCATGCATGAGGTCTGAAATACGTTTTAAAGCATCCCCAGCCAGTATTTGGGTTATAAAAAGTTTTTCAATCTGATGCTCTTTTTCGTTCGAACAAAGTAACCAATTTTTTTTGTTGAAATCGCTTTGTACAATGGTTTGATTTTCAGTCAGTCCAGTATCTTTGAGTTTGGTCTTAAAGCAATCAACACAGACTACAAATCCACACTTACGACAACTCCAGTGGTGATTGAATATTGTCGTTCTACAAACATCACACATTTCTCTAATTCCTTTTACACATTTTTTCCATAGTATCTTTCGTGGTTTCCCATTATATGACAAGTTTAATTTTAATGCGTTTATTTCATCCTTAACAAACATACAAAACTGACCACCTGCATCTTCTAAAATTTTTGTTGATGCTTGAATATTAAAATCACAAGGATCAGATGCATGTTTTTTAGGTAGCCACATACTAAAATCAGTTTGTTCCATATTTTTAAAAGGATCTGGATATCCAGCAACAGCTAGTAATCCAGATTTTCGAAATCTTAATTGGCGAAATGCATAAAACCTACATGCAATATTATCATATTCACGTTTGGTCAAATTACTTTTCATTTGGTAAATACGACATTCAATACATTTATCAATCGTTGGTGGTAAATTAAGACAAATACATTTTTGTAAAAATCTCTTATTAGTCTTTTTAAGGTATTCAATTTCAGATTCTGTTTCTTCGTAAAAAATATCATGATGAATTACTTCACAAGATTTCAGATCAGATTCTGCTGAAATGTCAATTATTCCATCATCTATTCTTTTTTTTTTAGTGTTTTCATTATAGCCACAGGTACAATTACTATTATTATCATTATCAGTTTCAGTAGCATTTAATTCATCTGAATGTAAAATTTTTCTTTTGTGATAGGTTTCTGTTGATGAACCATTTTCATTTAATTGTTTTAAAATATTATCAAAATTATAATTGTCATCGGACAAGTAACTATTCATTTCAGTTAAACATTGTCTGAAAGCATCGTCCAAGCTTAATTCTGCTTTTATATGTTGTTTATTTTCTTCATATGATGTATCATCAATCACACATTCAATTAAATGATCCAAACTGGAATTTTCATTTTCTACTTTRAGCACATGATTAGTATTACATGATGACGATAACTCTTCTACAGACATTTTACATCTTGAAATGGAATTTTGATTATTATTATAATATGTACCATCAGATAATATTTGATCAGTAT